TGATCGCATCTTCACCGAAGAGACTTATCAGTAAAGCGCTGCATTCCAATCACATATCCACAAGACGGACGGTCGCCGACCCGCAAATCACGGTCCTTCAGTGCAGCAGATAGTGAGTAAAAAAAAAAAACGATTATGTGAAAACCCGTTTGGTTTAGCTTGCACGGTTTGTGATCGCTTGTGGTTCAAGGGTCATTTGCGCGATGATCCTATGCGTGCAGTGTCTACGGAGAGTGTATACCGGTCGCGAATCGGTGGTTATCGTGGTGGATAAGAAGTACCACCAGGTGTCAACATGGGTGCATCAACATCTAAGTGTTCTGAAGCCACTAAACACGAACAGAGATTATATGTCAAATTGTAATAACCATTGAACTACTTCTGTACATAGACGTTTCACTTTCGTGTGTTATACCGATTCCTATGTCAAAGGGATCGACCACATTTTTTTTATTGACTCGCTTTTTTACTGTATAGAATGTCTCTCTCGTCTTCGGTGTTGTATTCCGTGTACTTCGTACTTTTATTATACATTCCGTTCGTGCGTCTTTTTTTTTCTCAATCGTACAAGGAGCTTTTTTTTTTCTCAATCTAAATTACCGCACACGCTATGGGGCCCGCCGTTTTTTAGGCATTATTTATTATCATTCAGTATTCCTTGTTAGCCTTATTACAATGTTCTGAAACAGTGACGGTCACAAAACTTGCACATGAAGACGCGAAAGTTAACCATCCTGTCAAAGAGTGCGCGAAAAGAAGCGCGTGTTTTTGTGGCCTGAAGGAAGAAAGGGCTCGAACCGAGACAGCACGTTCCCGTTAAGTCTACCAACCCCGCTCGCACAGTTGAGCGGCCCTGTCACTGGAGGGGACTGACGGAAAATGCTGGGGAAGCGACCGTATATATACCGCGCCCAACGGTAATGATCGCTCGGAGGTGACGTCATAGACGGCGCTTGACTTTCGGACAATGGAACGATGTGGTAAGAGGGGACGGGGGGAAAAAACGGTCAGTAGATTACCGCGCTGGCGCGAATTCCGGGTGGTGATTAATGACTTCCGACGCCACTCATGCACGTAGCCAGTTGGGAAGGGTCTGTGGAGAGCCGTACGTGCGTGCAGCCACTATAGACGCCATCGCTTCGGCGTGACAAAATGCTCCCCGTAAACCGCAGCGGCGTGACACAATGGGGCTAGGAAAAGAGCTCCCCTTCAATGCCAGACTATACTTCATACATTCTGACGACTTTGGTCGCTGTTTTTACCCCCCAACCTTAATAAGGTGACTGAAATTCACATTTTAGATGGACCAGTGATGCGTAACACTGCATCCCTTAAAAGGGAGAAAAAAAGGGGTTTTTTTTAATTCGCTGTATTTTTTTCTTGACGTTTATGAAACAAAAACGATCGCCCCGCCGCGGTGGTCTAGTGGCTAAGGTACTCGGCTGCTGACCCGCAGGGCGCGGGTTCGAATCCCGGCTGCGGCGGCTGCATTTCCGATGGAGGCGGAAATGTTGTAGGCCCGTGTACTCAGATTTGGGTGCACGTTAAAGAACCCCAGGTGGTCGAAATTTCCGGAGCCCTCCACTACGGCGTCTCTCATAATCATCAGTGGTTTTGGGACGTTAAACCCCACATATCAATCAATCAACAAAAACGATCATCGGACTAATATGTGAATCCTTTGTCCGATCTCTACGCAACACAGCCAAGCACTCTGATGCGGCGATAAATCGATCATGGAAAAATTGATTACACCATCTCCTACTAAAGGGAACCAGGAGTAACATGCGAAGCGGCGAGTGGGTCGGCTTAAATTTCTGAGTAGTATTGAAAATGAGGCAAGTTGGTAACAATTCATTTTTTTAAGATAAACAGCGCGAAAAACGAAGACAGAGAAGTAGGAAGACAGCGCTTGTCCTGTGTCTTCCTACTTCTCTGTCTTCGTTTCTCGCGCTGTTTACCTGAAAAAATGAAAAGGGCTTATTAAAGTTTCGCTCACCACGGGCACCTCACCCGATGTTAACGCGTCCTTGCAAGGGGATAATACCACGAATTCAGTGTAGTTTCTGTTGCTTTTACTCGTCCCGAACTCTTGTTGGAGCAAGCCACGCGGGTTCGTAGCCACGCCACGCGGGACCATGTGTGTTCATCGCGCGCGTCTGCAGAATCTAGTTTCCCGACGCTATCACGTGATTGCTGAGACAGTGTAAGGGAGGAGAGGCCACATTCACTTATACGCAGGCCCGACGTGCTAGCGCGTGCCATCGCGTTCTGACTAGGATACAATCTCGCTGGCCCATCGCGCGTCTTGAGCCTCTCGCTCCCCCATGCCATCTCGCTCCCCCATGCTGAGAGAGTGTAGAGGAGGAGAGGCCACATTCACTTATACGCAGGCCTGACGTGCTAGCGCGTGCCGTCGCGTTCTGACTAGGATACAATCTCGCTGGCCCATCGCGCGTCTTTAGAATCTCGCTCCCCCACGCCATCACATCACTGCTGAGAAAGTGCAAGGTAGAGAGGCCACAACGTCTTACCCAGCCGCTTACACAGGTCGGAACGTGCTATCACGTGAGCGCGTTCTGGCAGTGCTTGGGCCAGCTGTTGCGTATATGCAGGAAGAGTGGTCACACACACACTGGATTGAGCTCGACCGTAAGGTGCTTCGATTCTAAAAAAAGAAGGTATAAGCAAAGATGCGCACAATGTTTTAGGTCTGATATCAAATAGAAGCTACACTACGTGCAGTATAAAAAGAAACAGACAAATATTGGGTAATTTGGTAAGTTTATTGCAATAATATAGTGAACATTTACACGAAACAAAATTGATCTGCTGTGAAGCACCCCTTTTAGACAACATTTCAGCCAACTTTGGCATAAGGACCATCACGATGAGACCAGATGACGAGCAGTGAGTGCTGTTCTTGCTACTGTTTTCTCCTTGTCTGATCATATACAGATATTAGGATTAGAAACAGCGTATCTTGAATAACATGCAATCTATATGAGTTTCAGGAGCAAACGTCAAGATATTCCATACAACTCATGGAGCTCTAAGCCTCACTGAAGAGCTCCATAAATATTTTATTGTGAAATATATTTCACATAAAACAGACAAGGTAAATTCCAAGAAACGGACAACTAGTAAGATGGTCTGTTATCAAATGTACTCTAATGTGAGCTATGTATTTGAAATACTATCTCTGTAATTTTTATAAGTCACCAAAATAGCCAACATGTAAAATTTAAAATAGCTAAACGCTCCAACTGTTTGATATGCCCCTTGTTAATGCATAAATGAGATCAGGAGTCGATAATGCTGCATATTAGCCTACTAAGATTACAGCATACATGTTATTTTCCGTTTGTCTAAGGCTTGCAAGTTGTTCACACAGTTAAAGTTTCTGATCTTCATTCTCTCAGTGCCATTTCGGAGTAGATTCGCAGCACTTACAAATAAAGGTCACAGTTTGAAGCAGCATGGAGCAGCATTTTTTTTAGCAGTTTGGAGCTACTGCAGCCAGCCCTTCCATCACTGATAGAGTCAACCTGAGTTTTCTAACGTACTTTTCTTATTTTTGAAGGGCCGCTGAAGTGAAAGAATAAATTGATTTAGATTGAATAGTTTTACTCCGGACACTAAAATTCGTTAATTACTCTACTATAGATTTAATCATAGAAGAAGTAATCAAGGTCAAAACCTTATTGTTAAATTTCGCGCCGCAATTCCTAGAGACGATTTCAAAGACTTAAAAGTGAATTTTTCTTGTTTTGGTGACATTGGTCCACCCAATAAAATTTTCCTAAAGCTTGTTAAGTTAAGCTTCCGGCCACCTAAAAGGATAGTCTATTTCATTTTACAGATTAGTAACAGTGTATTCCCTAATACACTGCCGTTGAAATCTGTGACATCACGGCAATTGGTAGGGGAACATCGAGGTGGCGTCGTCATCCACTTTTTTTTTGCGCGTTTTCTAGTTTACCGAGTGTCTTCTCGTGGTAAACGTGCTGATATTGGTATTGTGAAAGAGCAATGTACTCATATGACTAAAATTACTTTTCTTTTCAGAGGTTTTCTGTCTATCTAAATAAACTTTTTCATCTATCCCTTTAGATTCCCTTTAAATACATGCATGCATCTATCTCTTTAGATTCCCTTTAAATACATGCATGCTTCCGTTGTGCGGTGCTCATCGCAGTCACACATGGCTTGTGTTCGTCGGATATATTTCATAGGTCAAACGAAACGTCAGAAAAACAAAAACAAATCGAAAACGTACGACGGAGCATCAAGAGACGGAAGCTATGATATAGGCAGCGCTTCACCCTCCACGCCGCCACAGCACTTGACGATGGGGATCGTTTTTCAGAGGGAACATTTCTATCCAGGATACGGGTGCCCGTGCTTCCCGCGGCGCTTGTAGTGATGCTGTAGCAGGTTGTAGGGCTTCATGGCTAACTGATGCTGGAGCTCCAGGTCCCTTTCAAAAGGGCAGGACATTGAATGCAGGGGACAAGCTCGGAAAGTATATCTATGGCTTCCTGCGCCTTTTCATCTGAGCACGTATACTGTTAAAACCTCAGCACTCGCACAAGACGAACGCTCCGCTATATACATAGACGACGCCTATTACAGTCACACACGTACCCAAACCTTGCCACGCTTCACGTTTATTATCCCAATGCATACCCCAGCGACACATGCCCATGATGTGGACACACAGCTACACTCGCACACATGCTCTGGGAGTGTAGAACAACTCCTCCCGACTCTACCTCAAGCAAGTGGGAGAGGTCCCTCAGGAGCTCACTTCTCGCCGACCAGCAATGGGCCGTCCAGCAGGCCCACGAAGCGGCCGCCAGGTACTCCCTGTTGGTCCCTACGTGGGAGACGCCCGCTACGCGCTAAGCGCGTCCTGCAGGACGGAAATAAAGTTTTTTCATTCCATCCCATCGAGGGAAGCCAGCATAAAGGTGTCGTCACACGTCTCCTCTTCGCAGGGCGCGCCGCCGCAGGCGCAGATGGACTCCCTGCACCGGCGGCCGTACGCGAGTTCGGAGTCATGGCCCGAGAGCCCGCCGGAGCCGGCACCCGCGGTGCCGCCGCGCAACGCGTACGCAGAGCCGCCCAGCTACAGCGAGACCACAGGCCCCATGGTGCCGCCGGCCGCGAGCCGCGTCAACCCGCAGCTCATCATCGAAGCCCCTCGGGCCGCGTCCACGTCCCTGGCGGCCGCTCTCACCCAGCGGCTAAGGCCGCGCAGCGGCTGGCAGTGGGCCTGCTTGGCGCTGGCCGCGCTCGCCGGCAACCCTCGCCGCGGCGCTGGCTTACGTCGCCGCTGCCGGGCCGGCAGCAAAGCCGTGCGTGCTCCTGGACGTGGCGGCCGAGAGCCTGTCCGCTTCCGCGCCGCCGCCGCCGCCGCACCGGCATAGCAACAGCCTGCAGCAGTCGCAGCAGCCTCAACAGAAAAACCAGCACAATCAGCAGCATAATCAGCCCGCCGCGCGGGAGCCTTGCAGACCGCCCGCGCAGGCCGACGCGTACGCCGAGGTGGAGCTGGGCGCTCGCCTCACCCATCACCTGGAGGCGCACGACGCCTGGAACGTGCGCTTCGAGCAGCCCGAGGCGGCGTTCGTGCGCTTCAACGTGACCGCGCCGCAAGGAGCGCGGCTCGCCCTGCTGGCCAGGCGTAACGAGCCGCCGTCGCTGACCGCCCGCGACGTGGCCGAAGTGGTGGCCACCGCCGGCGGACATCGGTCGGCAGTGGTGAGTGCAAGGATACCAATAGGGACTTGTTAATTTTATGATAAACTGGGCACAGCACAGAAATGAACGAAGGCAGAGATGAAGTAACAGAAAGAGAGAACAGCTTTCTTAAATGCACCAGTCCACGTCCAGTGAAAGAATTACTTCACTGGATCTGCTTTTTTTTCTGATGTCAAATATTACGCTTCTTTTACGAATAAACTTTAGTCGCGAGTCAGCGCAGTAGTCTGTCTTTTCTTTCCCGTCCCTGTTTTCGTCACGCTATTATTCGTTTAAGATGAAAGAATCTAGGCTTAGACACCAGGCAGGCCTAGAACTGTCAAATGTCCCAGTATAGGGCCTTCACAATGTCTGTGAAGGAGTACGCAAGCCACTCCTCCAGGGTTGTATATAGGTATTGAGTTGGTGGATATACGTGTTTGAGTATCCCGCCCATCGCAGCACGGCCATCTGGCCAATCCCACAAAACGAGGGTGGACACAAGTGTTTGAGTGCATGGCTCCATGAAGCCATAGTACTCCCAGTACTTCTCGTAGTCGTAGGTTAAAGCAGATCGGTATCGCAAAGCACCGTCGCAAATGTAGAAGCCTTTGTTTGCAAAGAAGGAAACTCGATTTAGCGCACATCTCGTAGTCGTATTGGTTAAAGTAGATCGGTATCGAAAGCAACGTCGCATATGTCGAAGTGTTTCTTTGCGAAAAGGCAAGTCGATTTAGCGCGCATGTCGTAGTCGTAGGTTAAAGTATAGATCGCGGTCCTCGCAAACAAACTCGGAAATGTCGAAGTGTTTGTTCACAAAAAGAAAAGCTGCTTTAGCGCACACTATTTTTACTACCATTGCAGCTATTCGACTGTGTAAGTCTAGAAGCGCAGTACAAAAAATTCAGCTCTATGTGTTTAGAAAAACAGAAACGAGCTCTACTTTGAAAGAAGTGCGTGCAGCCATAGCTCACATGCAAACGGTGTTGTTACGGCACATCATGTGACAGTGCCTCCGTCGCAAGACGGACTTGTTAATTACTCGTAAACTGGGTTACGAGCACGGTCTGAAATAACGTATTTAGCAGAAATAAGCACAAACTACTCGCATTAATTAACTTACAATTGATAAACACCGCCAAACAAGCGTGTTAAGAAAGATAAAGTTGATGAGTTGAAGATAGTTGAAAATATTGAGAGGACGCTAAACCGCCTCCAAGTACTTAAAAAAGTAAGAAATAGTTCTGCAAAAAAAAAAAACGACCGCGGAATATATGTTCAATAAACATTTGCTTAGCGCAATCGGGCATCACACTGCAGAACATCTATTGCTTCGCGTACATGTTCGGAGTTCACACGTGCGTTCCTTTAGTACTCGCAAAAATGTGTCAATGTAATAGCAATTGTTACAAAAAACTTTGTTGCTGACATGCGTTTTATAAAGGTGTATCAACGAGCTACTAAAGCGATTTTAATGGAAACAAATGTAACCACCAACCTTTCGGCACGCTCACACTAGGCGTATACATTAAAATATTAATTATAGCAGTTATTGGCTCGAGGTTAAAAACACGCAAGATTCTGCAAACAAAAAAAAGAACTTACGATGATGCGTTGTAGAATGAATGGTAGACAAAGATAAAGGAGAGATTAAAAAAAAAAAAGGTCAGATGCTCTAAACGAGGGCCCGTGCTATACGAAGAGCCATGTGCGGCGACCGCCTCCACAATATTGGCCGCGAGGGCCTCCACTGGAGAGACCAGCGCTGCGATCGTTTTGACGTCACAGATAGGATGCATGCGCTCGCCTTGCTGCGTAGTAGTTGTGGAATACGGCAGGTTTGCTTTCGCGACACCACTTGCATCGTCCCCCATGGCTGCACCGGTTCTTAGTCGCAATTTTACGATGCAAATTAGACACGAGAGTGCCACCGGGGGCGCCAATTCGTAGTTTGCTTGCCCGTGTTATCAGGTCTTACCGCTTCTTCAAGCACCGAGCTTCAAAGGAAAGGGAAGCCCGCACAGTGTCCACAGCAAAAGCGCAGGAGATGCGGTGTTCTAGCAGACAACACAACCCGGCATCCTATGAGTGACGTCATCACGTAGGTGGCGCCACGGTATGTCCTCGAGGCCAAGAGAAACCAATGGGTGCACATCGACCATGTAAATATAATCCATGCAACCCCACGCATTGGCGGCGTACGCTGGTGTAACTGTATAAGCCTGTGTACCACCGCTTCGATAACATGAACTATACGTACGGGACGCGAAATGTTCGATCAAGCTTGATTCTCGTTTTGTTTGGGAACTTAATGTCGAAAGAAATGTTCCATACTGCATTTGGCATTCCTATCTATGCGTCACCAGCTTGCTTACAAGCATTAAGCGCTGATATAGTAGAATTTCGCATTTTTTGCGGATCCAACATCCCACAAACTTTTGTTGTTGGTACGTACTTAAAATTCTACTTACGGCTGTCACCTTTCCTCGAACAAAAAACTGACCCTTCGACGAGGAAGAGAGGGATGGGGGATGGGCTACCAGGAGATTAAATTTGTGTTGAACGATAGACGTTATGTCAGGTCTTTGGCATGCAGTGCCATTTATGTAACATTGCTTTCCTTGAGCCAAATAAACCTCATGTACAAACAAGAACGGCACACTGAGCTAACATACTATAGTCTAATTACTGGCATAAAAATGCCCTGATTAGAATGACGGTTCGTTTACTGCTCTGAAAAAAGCGGTCAGTGACAGCGGAGGTGGACCGGCAACCAGCCCGCTGTCTAAAAAACCGGCGGAGCCGTTCTAAAACCAAACAGGTGGCAACACTAATTCTACTGCATGGGATGGCTTACCGCCATGCCGTAGCAAAACGACTTGTATAAACGTCGAAATCACCTCCGTTTTAAGTGCGCAGAACTTGAGGCGCCCGGCTTGTAGTGCACGCTCCCAGTAAATCACTCAGTACAGACCGTAAGAAGCTAGCAGTGCTCAAATCCCGATTAAAATGAACGAACAAGGTCTGAAATAATGCATTTAGCAGAAATAGCCATGACGTAATATCGCTAATTAACTTCGAATTGATAAAACCTCTCGCAAACCGTAGGAATAGCCAACGTTATGAATAGCCAACGAAGCAAAACATTTTGTTTCACAGTTTATCAGCAGAAGCTCTTCTCCCGACTGTCGCCAATAGAAACTGGAATAGGGCTACCATAGCGACAAACATGGGTATCATATTAATGACTTATAAGATGAAATTGTTCAAAATGCCGAGTGGTTGCAAATGCACAGTAGCGGCTCTTCAATACCTCTAACTTACCTGACCTAACAGGCTATAGGTACCGTGTTACTCGATTGTAACGCGAGCGATGACATTGCATTGCGTCCAGGAAGAAAAAAAATAGAATTCGGCACAGTACAGACACACTAACACCATGACCCTTTCGTCAAAGCTTTATGAGGCTCTGCCGAGCCCCGCTCTTGACGACCAAACCTGGGCGACCCAGCACGCCCGTGAGGAGGCGTCGAGGCAAGCCCTTGACGTCCCCTCGTTGGAGGCTTAGGCCCGGCTACCTAAACCTGTTGGTTGCTTACAATAAAGTTTATTCCTTTTCCTCCTCGGTATTTGATTGCAATGCATGGGTTGACTTGGGGCATCGAAAATCTGAAAAAAGACAAAAAAAGAGCTCGCTTTACATTCTAGTCAACATGTTATTAAAGGAAGCATGGAGATGTAATATATTAGATAAATTAAGCTCTTTTAAAGAAAGAAAAATTGTTTGGAGAGATGTCTAGGCACATTCTTATGCAATGAGAATAAGAAAGCATTTACTGTGAAGTGCGGTCCTTCCCACTGTCTCGGGGATTCTACTCTCCCACGCCGCGGCTGCAGGCTGTTGCTAGTGGAGCGCCCGCCAAGTGTTGCTCTGCGGCAACGTCAGAAGTGCGTGCTTTTACCAAGCTAGTCAAGAAACACGATCACCGCAGCAGTTAATGGCGCCGGCGTCAGTCAGGCGGGAGAGTCACGTTCTTTCCCGACCCGGCTTTTGCGGACGTTAGCTGGGTGCGTGCTTTCGCAGACCTAGCCAAAAACGTTGAAAAACCGTCACTTATCGTCAGCTAGATACGATCGCGTTTACAAGAGATTCATGCAAAACACGCTATGGCTTAATGAATATGTCTTCAGCAGGGCTGTGGGAAGATGCCAATAGACTCACGCACTGCATTAGGCAGGACACGTGGGCGCGGACTACTCACTAAATGCCGCATCTGCACTCCATCTGTTTGCAGCTGGAAGAGGTCGACCTGATTCATTTCCTGGAACCCGGCACATGGTTTCTGTCGCTTATCAATGACGACCCGTTACCGGTATCGCTAGCCCTACAGCCGGCTGTGGCCAGGGACGTGCCGACCAGCTGTCCGAGCCAGTGCCATGGCCATGGCAGCTGCCGCCTGGGACAGTGTCACTGCTTCCCATGGGTACATCGGCCTGGACTGCGCGGACAGCGTATGCCCGGTACTCTGCAGTCGGCCACGGACGTCTCGTCCAGGGCGTTGCCGCTGCGAACCGGGATGGAAGGGCGCTGAGTGCGCCGTGCGGGATGACCTATGCGAGTTACCCGACTGCTCGGGACACGGCCGGTGCGTACGTGGCCGCTGTGTCTGTGAGCCCGGTTTCGGCGGCGAGAACTGCGAGCGGCCCGACTGCCCAGACCCGGAATGCGGCTCTCGTGGCGCTTGTGTCCAGGGCCGCTGCTGGTGCAAACCCGGGTGGCGCGGTGCGAACTGCA